AAAAAAATACATAATAATATAAAAAATTAAAAAAAAGAATTACAAAAAAAAATGTTTTTTTAAATCACAGCTAATGGGGCCAGCAGGTGGCATGGTGGTCAAGGGCACTGGACTTCCACATGGCTGACTGTGGTTTGAGTCCTGTACCTGGCAGCTTGCTTTCTCATTTTTTCCTCTCTGTCTCTCTGATTCTGTCCCTCTCTGGTCAAATATAAATAAATAAGTAAACTTAAGTAAAATAATTCTTTTTTTAAAAACCCACCACTAATAATAATCTAGAAATAGGATAAAAATCATGAACATGATTTTAAAAATATATAATTAATATATGAATATGTAAATACATATATTTATAATGTGTGTGTATATATGTTTTTCTTATTTATAAACACATATATACATACACGCAATTGTCATTGTTGGTTTAGTTTTTGTTTTTTCTTTCATTTTAATGTAAAAAATTTATAAAACAGAATCAAACTAAAATAAAATAAGCTTTAAAATTATATTTTTTTAAAGAGAGATTTTTATAGAGTGTGTGTACTCGCCAGAGAGATAGAGAAAGAGAGACAGAAAGCGAGAAACCACCCCCTGAGGGGGTGTCCATGCCCCAATTCCCTCTTCTCCATTCTCCTCCCAGGATTTTGGGCATGCACACACACGTCCTGCTTGAGTTATAAGCTGCCGGGTCCAAGACTTGAACTGCAGTCAACCACATGGGAGTCTAGTGACATAACCATTACGCCACCTGCTGTTGGCCCCTAAAAATACATTTTAATAATATTTTTCCTTCCAGAATATACCTTTAAAGTAGTATTATCATTAATGTCAGTATAGACCAGATTTTTTTCTTTGGACATAAAGGCATGCTGATGCTGTCATACTAGAAACTGGAATTTAAGCTTTAATATTCAAATCCTATCTCTATCATCTACAATATACCTTAGTAACTAAAGCCCCTGGAATTAAAATCAGAGAGATCTGAGTTGTGTTTAACTTAAGTTTACAAGCTTTGTGACCTTAGGCAACTCATTTATTTTGCTATGCCTCAATTTTTTAATTCATAAAATGGACACATTAAGCCTAGCAATGGTGGTGCAGGTGGTAGGGCACCCAGTGCAAAACAAGAGCCACAATGAAGGCCCAGGTTCAAAGCCTGAGTCAACTTGAACATGCCAGGCACAGGCCCATGTGTGCTTGTGATCCTGGCTGGCTGCAGGGAAGATGGTGCTATGACAAGAACTTGGTAAGGGATTGTTACTCTCTTTCTGTCTCATGCAGGAAATAAACTATTTAAAAAATTATTTTATTTTTTTAATTTATGTATTTTTAAAATTTTTCCCGAGAGGATCAGAGTGAGAGTGAGAGAGAGAAAGTGAGAAAGCAAACCTCCAGGTCCACGACTTGAGCTGTGGTCGGCCGTGTGGGAGCCTAGTGCCCTTAACAGCCACGTCATCTGCTGGCCCCAACAGTAAGTAAACATTGAAAAGAGAAATAGATAAGTTAAAAGTACTAATACTCAGGGTTGATGAGAAAAATGTATGTAATTAATACTGCAGCAGGCACTTACGATGACCAGTTAATGCTAGTTGGTATTATAGTTAGATGTTTTCAGCAGGTAGGCACATTTCTTTGATCTTCTCATTATGAAGTATAAAACTACGTTTTGCCTAATAGATGAATTTTAAGATTTCCTGATAGTAATAAAGCATTTAAGAATATGTCTGAATATTATTTAATTTTAATTGTCAGCATGAGTATATGTCTCATATTCACCATATAAATAAAAACATGATTGTAAAGCTGTCAAATGAGTTACCAAAACATTTTTGTTCATACCTTTCATTGAACTGTAAGTCCTAAGAAGACTTTCTGATGTAGTGAGGGATTGACATTTCATACTACGTAAGAACAAATACAATAGCTATTCTATTTTTATTACTAAAGATGAACTTTTTAAAATTTGATTTCCAAAGTACAAATAGTTTGTGCCCAGGAATGAGGCAAACTATCCTTTAGTCTGAAAAAGCATAAGGAGGCTCAATGCAGATAAACAGAGAAGGCAAAGAAGAACAAGGAAAGTAGGATGTGTTTCTCCTGTTCCGCTTTCAAAAGAGGGGCAAGATATCAGAGCTTTTCATAAAGAAGCTGAAGCGTGCCCTTCTGACATTTGAAAGGAAGAGATGCCCTACATTCAAGTATCTAGAGTATATCTTCCTTTCAAAAATGAGCCAAGTTAATCATCTAGAGAGGAAGAAGAGGGTAAAATAGCCTGTGAACAAGTCCTTTTTGTGGTGTTAAAAGTAGCTAATTATAATGAATACCAAGCATCTAATGAGTTTAAGATCCCCCTTGGAAAAACTGGTCTGGCCTTCACATAAAAAAGAGTAGGGAGATCAAGTGGGCTATTTGCATGTAGTAGGGCAGATCTCCTAATTGCCTAAATCGTACTCATTTTAAGGACATGTTCAAAATCTGTCATACATTTTACAATATACATAATTATATAAATGTAATACTTAGTCATCTATCTAAATAACATCAACAATTAATCCTATCTGCAGTTTTTGATTAGGCTCCTGTAGTGACATATTTTCCCCTCCTTTTCAATTACTGAACAATACCAGTCATTTTTAATCAAAGTAGAAAGTTGATTGATAATATCATAATATTCTTAAAGGAATATTAGAAAATCAAAATTTGTAATCATGATTGCTCATCGATCATTGATGTCCTTCATGAAGTCATTAGATTACTTATTACCAAAGTTGCTATTTTCTAAATATTGACTGGTTCCTGTGACATTTAACTAGATTACATTAATGATCTTGTAATTGCAAGAGTAAGAACTTGATGTTCTTCCTTATTACTAGAAAATATTAGTTTAAAAATATGCCAGTAAGCAATTATTTTAAAATATACATGATATTTTTGAAATAATATATTTTGAGTAAACACTGTCATTAGGTTAGAAGATTGACCTATTTTTTGCTAACCTTGTTGATAGTACTATTTGTTCCAAATTATTCCTATTATCCTGAAAATAAAGGACTTTTGAAAATCATTTTAAAGGGGACTATGTAGAAAGATTCTGTGGGATTGATGGATATTCTCTGAAGAACAAGTGAAGGGAACTACTTCATACAAAACATTTTCCAACACTGCAACTGATGGTCAGCTTGTCGCTGCACAAATGTGAAAGTCATTTCTTGGAACTCATTTTACAAGCTGATATGAGCATTTGACTCTTCCTACCTGTGACCTTGATGCCAAAACCTTCTCTTAGTTTTTCTTAGCCTCACTAATCATTTCATGTGTCTCCTATCCTTGATATTCTTTCTCATTCAGATCTTTGATCTCTTTACCTAGAATCCCTGACCTATGCAACTCATAGAGTGTCCTGGAGAGTTGGTGGTATTTGTTAGGTTGTAGCAAAACTGTTGATAAAATTGTTTCTCATATGCTACAGGGCAGTAATGGCTGATCTAATCTTTATTTCCTATATGGAAGAAAATATTTATTTTTTAAAGAATTAATTAATTAATTAATTAATTAATGTTAATTTGAATGGAGAGGGACAGAGTGAGAAAGAGGGAAGGAAAGTGAGAAAGCAAGCTGCCAGGTCCAGGGCTTGAACTACAGTTGGCCATGTGGGAGTCCAGCACCCTTAACTGCTGTGCCACCCACTAGTCCTGGAAGAAAATATTTAGAATGTTGTTGTATTGCTACTTGCTGCTTTCATTAAGTTCTTCATCAAAGATGAACTCAGACTAGAAATAGCCAACCTGTGGGGGGAGATGAAAGGCAATATTGCTTTGATTAAAGGAGGTGCTATCTGCCTGTGGTCTCTAATTTAAATTACTTGAACATATGATAAATTAGGACCATGCAGAGTAGAGAAGTCCAACTGTTTTGCTAATGAGATGAAAACAGGTAACAACTGAAAGCAGTAACCTTTGCAGGAGATATAACTATACTCTTAAGTCTTTTTCTTGCCCTTAAATGTAAAGGCAAGGAACACCTTACTACTATTATAGCCACGTGCATACTCACTTCTTAACTTCAATCAGTATTTTAGCCACTGCTTCAGGGTAAAGTTCTGTGCAGAATTGAACTTACTTTGCCTGATAGTACCTGTATTACTCAGGGTTCTCTAGAAAGACAAAACAAATAGGATATATGCCAAAGTTTACCTGGATATCTATGTCTACATATCTGTTGTATTATAGGCATTGGCTCACATGATTTTGGAGGCCAGAAAATCTTGCAATCTGCCTTCTACAAGCTGGAAAACTAGGAAGCTGGTGGTGTGGTTAAGTCTGAGACCAAAGGCAGGAAAACCGATGTTTGAAGGGAAGAAAAGATGGATATCCCAGCTCTAACAAAACCAAAATCATCCCTTCTCCAACATTGTGCTCTATTCAGACTTTCAACAAAGTTGATGATGTTTACTCACATTTTGAGGGTAATCGTTTTTTTTGTTTTTTTTCCACTCAGTGTACTGATTCAAATGCTGATCTCTTCTAGATAGCCTCACAGATACACTCAGAAGTAATGTTTTACCAGCTCTCTAGTATACCTTACCCCAATTAACAAATAAAATTGGCATGATGGTTGCAGCACTGAACTCCCACATGACCCATGGTGGTTCGAGTCCTGGACCTGATGGCTTGCCTTTTCACTTTCTCTCTCTCTCACTCACTCTGGCCCAATCTGTCAAATTAAAATAAATATAAAAAGCTAAATAAAATAATTCTTTTAAAAAATAAAATTAACCATCATGAGTCCACCCCTTATCAACTTGACGCCTCTACACATCTCTTTAAACCATACTTAATATTAAATAAAGACAATAGCAAGATCACAATTCTACCTAATATGATACAGGTATCCTGCATACAACTGAAATGTATGATCCCTTCCCTAGAACAGGAAGTAAACTTTTTGAGTGTTGACTACTCTTCTGAATTCTTAGAACTTAAGTACTATGATGTATAATTAAGAATACAAGAATACAAGTTAGTAAAATTTCCTTGAAGGACAGAAATGATAAATATACTTGTGGATTTCATGTAAGTACAGTTCTATAGGGGAAATTTGGCCAAGAATACTTGGAATAATTCAATTACAGCTTTTCATAATGTTATTTCAAAATAATGGATATGATCTTTTTTTAAAAGAACTATATTGAAACTGTGACCATTGCTTTCATGTCTTGACTCAGACCTTGCTAAGCAGTTCTCAGAGGCCTGAATATCACCCAACATGTTTTCTTTTACTGTTAACATCCACTGGGTTAGGTATCTGTTTGCAATTATTTATATAATTTTTCAAGAATTTACATGTATTTTGTCTTGAATGTATTTTGTCTTGAATGCTCTCTATACTGTATTTAGGCTCATGTGTACATCAATAAGGCACTTTTCAACTAAGAAGACAAAGACTGTGAAAAGAGATTAACTCTTCTAATTATTTACACTGAAAGAGAAACAAATATACATTTCATGTAACATCAGTTGGGTGTAAATTGTTTGCTTTATTGTTTTATTTAGTAAGATGTATACGGCAATATTAATCATCTTAACCACTTTAAATATTGTGGCATTAATTACATTCAGAATGTTATAAGGCCATCACTACGATCATTTGCAAAACCTTTTCATCACCCTGAATAGAAACTCTGCACCCAGTAAGCAATAAATCTCCATTTTCCTCTCTTCTTTGACCTTTGTAACCTCTAATCTATTGTCTATCTCTATGAATTTACTTATTTTAGAAATTTCATATAAATATGATTATACAATATTTATCTTTTTGATTCTGATTTACTTAGAATATTTACCAATTTTGTACAAATATCAGAAATATTTATTTTTAATGTCAGAATAACCTTCCACTATATGTACATACTGTATATTTATCCACTCATCTGTTAAACCCTTGTATTGTTTCCACCTTCGATAATTGCAAATAATGCTGTGTTTGAGTACTTGTTTTCAACTCTTCAGAGTATAACCTAAGAGTGGAACTGCTGTGTTAAATGATAATTCTTTTCTTAGATATTTTTAAATGATTTTTAATTTAATTGTTGTACAACTCTATAGAACACAGTATGATTTTTCATAGTATGCATGGTGTACATGACAATCAAATCAAGGCTATTACCATATGCATAATTTTCAGTGGAACTTTACATTCTTATGTCTGTTAAATATTTTCTCTGTGAATCCCTTTCACCCATCCTGTACTATCCACCTTCTTTCCATACTGTCTCTGGTATATACACTTGTCCTCCTTATTATTATATCTTGGTATCTTTCAATTTTTGTGCAGAAATTCATTATATGAAGTGGTGAAAGTGCCAAACTATTTCTTCTTCTTTTTTTTTTTTTTTTTTGAGTGTTTTTTGTTATAGGGTACATGCGCTTACCAGAAAGACAAAAAACAGAGAGAGACAGAGAGAAAGAAAGTGAGAAATCATACCCTGAGGGGATGGCCACACTGCAATCCCTTCTCCTCCATTCTCCTCTTGGGATCTGGAGCACACACGCACATGTGCCTGGCTTGAAATTTAAGCTGCCAGGTCCGGGACTCGAACCACAGTCAATTATGTGGAAGGCCAGTGACATAACATTATGCCATCTGCCAGTCCTGAAGTGAGATATGTTTTAAAAAATGAATCTTCTCTCATTTTTTTTCCCTCTACTTATTTGGATTTGTATTTTTAAAAAAGCTTTCACTTTTTTTATGTAGACTTATCCATTCTAACTCTGTATTCCTTTAGGCTCTGTTTTTGACCTTCCAGTTTTTAATTTTTTAATTTTCTATTTATTTATTTATTTTTTTAGTTTATTCATTTCAAAACAAAAGCGCTAAAATAAAACAATTTTTAAAAGGGCAAAAAATTTAAATTAGGAAAAGAAATAATACAAATGTCACTAAGTACATGTACAACATCATTATTCACTAGGTAAATGCAAATTAAACCCAAAATGAGATACCCCTTTATACCTGCAAGCATGGGTATAATAAAAAATAAATAAAAGTAACAAGTGTTGGCTAGGATATGGAGCAATTAGAACACATCTTTTCTTTTTCTGAAGTGCGAATCTACTTCCCACATTTGCCTTTTTTTTTTTTTTAATGTGTTTCTCATCCACATAGTCTTACTATCATACAATGTGATTGCAAAGTTCACTACCAAATCTCGCACTCACATCTATACCACCTGGAAAGTTGTACAATTTCATACCCATATGGATAAGCCAAATTTCTGGGCCCTGTCTCCAGATCCTAAAACTTAACAGCATCCTCCCTTCTCCATCTGATATAATTCTGATTGACCATAATAGGATACTTTAAATTTCTAAAAGGGTTACCGGATTCTTTTCTAAGGGCCTACTGTTGGAATTAAATGTTATCTGGTTGGGGATCAACAGATGGCATGGGTTTTAAACTCCTACATAGCTGACCATGCTTCTAGTCTTGGCAGCTTGCTTTCTCACTTTCTTTCTCTCTCTGTGTGTGTGTCTCTCTCTGGTCAAAGTAGAATAAATGAATGAATAAATAAAATTAAATAAATATTGCTAAAAATGTTATCTCGGAAGCCACCATAATAACTCCTACATAATCTTGATTTAATAGGTTTAATTGATTTAATTTGTCTTATTCAGATACTAGGACTTAAATGAGGCACTACCAGTAATTTCCAAAAAGTTACATGTACATTATCAAATGATATATTGAATCCATGCCCCTTGGCTATAGGTAGATACACAAAATTTCTAGGTAAAAGTCTCAGTAGGGTGGTATGATGAAGGCCCTTTGAAGGAGTGAGATATACACTAAGGCTATAATTGGTTGGAAGTTGTACTGAAAAATGGAATGTGGACAAAAGATATGGATTGAAAAGGCAAGAAAAGCAAAGTTCACTGTGTTTCTGTTGATCTGTGGGCAATCATAGTGTTTAGTGACCTTAAAACTCAATATAATATAAAATAGACTTATAGAGATAATCCCCTGCAGAGTTAATTCAAACCTCTAGCTCAGTAGGTAAGCCACAGTGAAAGAGATTTCCTCTATGTCCACCTGAAGTCATTGCTATTGTCTCGATGATTGGAATTCATGCAGTTATTGCATATGCTGAGGACACAGAAAATGTATGTACGGATACATTCAAGAAAAAGGAGAAACAATGAAGAAAGAAAGTGGGAGAAGTGAGATTTGGTGGTGTGTGTAATAGTCAGTGGGAAAACAAAGAAATAGGCAACCACAATGACTAATGTTGTTACATGAAAGGGAACAAATACCTTGAAAGAAATTTAGCTGCTCTTGTGGACTGTGTGCATTTCCAGTAGAGGGAAATCCTAGAATTCGAAATAAAAGCAATCCTTTTAGGCAGTGGTAAGTAGCTGTGACTGCAGTTCTCAGCTTTTGGTGGATGGCTAGATAAAAGCATGGACCATTTAAATGCCACAATTAGAATTTTAAAAATTTCTTAACATTTTTACTTACTTACTTATTATTTAATTCACTGGGGGGGGGAGAGAGAGAGAGAGAGAAAGAGAGAGAGAGAGAGAGAGAGAGAGAGAGAGAGAGAGAGAGAGAGAGAGAGAGAGAGAGAGAGAGAGAGAGAGAGAGAGAGAGAGAGAGAGAGAGAGAGAGAGAGAGAGAGAGAGAGAGAGAGAGAGAGAGAGAGAGAGAGAGAGAGAGAGAGAGAGAGAGAGAGAGAGAGAGAGAGAGAGAGAGAGAGAGAGAGAGAGAGAGAGAGAGAGAGAGAGAGAGAGAGAGAGAGAGAGAGAGAGAGAGAGAGAGAGAGAGAGAGAGAGAGAGAGAGAGAGAGAGAGAGAGAGAGAGAGAGAGAGAGAGAGAGAGAGAGAGAGAGAGAGAGAGAGAGAGAGAGAGAGAGAGAGAGAGAGAGAGAGAGAGAGAGAGAGAGAGAGAGAGAGAGAGAGAGAGAGAGAGAGAGAGAGAGAGAGAGAGAGAGAGAGAGAGAGAGAGAGAGAGAGAGAGAGAGAGAGAGAGAGAGAGAGAGAGAGAGAGAGAGAGAGAGAGAGAGAGAGAGAGAGAGAGAGAGAGAGGGAGAAAGAGAAAGAAAAGAAAGAAAGAAAGAGAAAGAAAGATAAAGTAAGCAACCAAGTCTGGAACTTGAACCATAGTCTGCCCTGTGGGAGTCTAGATCTTTAACCATCATTTCAACTGCCAGCTCCAATTGGATTAATCCTATAAAATGTTCTTGTGCTTGAAAATTGGTTACATATTTCACAGGGTACATTTGAGTAACCATGAAAGTACAGTGGAATGATGGGTTCATAGGCGTTGTTCTCTAAATGACAAGGTAACAGACAGTGTTGGCTGTCAATCTTCCTCCCCTTCCTGGATAACAGAGTTTTCTTTTTGTTCAGCTGTCAGTAAGGGAATGTGCTTCAGCACCCTTCTCCAGCCCTAGCAGTGAAACTCTTGTTAGTCTTACTAAACTGTAACAATTCTGTTCTCTCTCTGTAGAGTAATAAGTCTCTGAATACAAATCCAAGTAAGGAGAAACATGATCATTTTTCATTTTGAAATGATCTCTTGGGTACAACATGAAAAACAAATTGGAATGAAACAAAGTAGATGTGGAGATACTACTTAAGAGGCTGCTGCAGTTCCCCCAGTGGGAGATATGGGTAGTTTCAATTAGGACGGGAGTAGTGAAAGTACATGAATATAGATAGAGTAATTTGAAGGTGAAATGAATAATAATTCTATGGGGGATGAGACAAACCCCATAGATGTTCCCAGATTTCAGCTTGAAGAATAATGGTTATGATCAATTACTGAAATAGAAAATTATAGAAGTGGATTGAATGTGGGGATGAAAATATTGTGGTTTGGAACTGGCTTCCTGGCACAATGATTCTATACTGCTCTAGAGAAGCTGGAACCCACATGGTGCCACTACTTTGAATTTCCACCCTGGCCAACCCGAAACATGCATGATACATGCATGAGTACCCAGGATAAAACAGGCTGGAGGCCTGGAGGATTGGTCAAGTTTGGTTAATCATTTACTTGAGTAGAGATGACCAAA